CGTTGCGCTCACGTACACTTGCACTCGCTGCTCTTCGAGAACGATCCCCGAAGTCACACATCCGTTGCTGTTCCCTCTACGAGCCTACCATACCTCCTCGGCGTCTGTGGGCGTGATCATCCAACCTCTGATACTCGGCACGTAAGAGAACCAGGTGTCAACCTTGCGGCCTTGCGCGTTATATCACGCCAACCTTCACATTCGCGATATCAACCAGTCGAGCTGCCTTTCGGCTTCTGCGAAATTAGGGCTGCGAAAGATTTACCCATTCGCCGGCTTTGTGAGGGTTCCTGTGCAGGCTGTTCCGGCTTCTCAATATCGGAGCCTGCTGACTGCGTCGTTTTGCACCCTGTTCATCGCCGCGGCGACGACCACCTCAGGACGAGTCATCTTTTCCCCTCTCCCCAGGTAGGGAGTTGCCCTACACCTTGCTCCACGATACAAAAACACGTCTAAATAACGTGGTCCTTCTTCGGGACACTCCTCTGTGCCTTTATCCGCTTCTACCCACCTTCCAAGAGCTTCAACCACAAGATTGAGAAGAGGAAGACCTCGGCGCCACGAACACCAGGGTACACGGCCGATCCGAGAGATCCCAGGGCTCAGAGGTAACCACGATATGACTCTATCTTGGCATCCCCCGCCTGCAGCAAGCTGATACAGTTGCAGATCGTCGAAATGTCGCTGCAGCCTTCCTCTGAGGGCGGCCGAACAGCCCCTCGATGGATCTACGATCTCCTTTCCGGCCTCATACACGAAGTCGAGAATTCTGTGAAATTGTCCGTGGACGAACGTCTTGCTTACCTCCAACCTGAACTGTTCTCTCATTCGCACGACTTCAAGGTCTTCCCAGAGCAGAGCAACATCGAGGGCGCGAACCCGACTATCTTGTCGCTTCTGTGTCGAGGCTGCGATCACCACATCGTTGTCAAGGTCGTCTACGATGAGTCCCGCGCTCAAGGCCTTTGCAATGCTGGAGTTGCCCACTACACTGGTAGCCTCGACTGTCCACCCGAGGCCGAGGACCTGGCGCACCATCTCGTTCACGAGAGCACTTGGTCATCCAAGGAATGCGAGCAGCTGGCTGACCCCCATCGGTCTCCCCTGGTCGGCCGGACACAGTACAAATGTTCGGGCGCCTCCTGCTCCCTACAAGTGACCGTGGAAACGTATCTCCCTCGTCTCAACCTTGAGTGGCTCAAGGCACTTCAAGACATGAATGGTGCCCGCAAACGCCTGGAAGAAGCCCGGCAGACGCAGCCCGAGCGCTTTGCCGAGTTTAAGGATGATTGGCTCTCGTCCGGCCTTCACTTGCTCGACACGTATCTGATAAAACGACTGAGCGACCCCCAGAGTCGAAAGATTTCATAGCGTAATAAGCGATTTTTAGTTTCCTTCGGCGAAGAACTCTGGCCTCTCTTCAACGCACTGGGTTTCGTGGAGCAAACGCTTGACAACGACGGTGCTGATGAGGACTATTTCGTTCCTGAGCCTCTCGAACCCCCTAATCCGCCCACGCAGATTGGAACGCTACGCTCGTTCGTCGAAGACATGCGCTTCGAAGTTGAGAACCGCATCATCGCCCTCGGCCAGCAAGGCCCTGCATCGCCACACCATGACTCAGCTGTAGACCGGCTAGAGAAAGCGCTCCATTGCTTCAACTGGCCGCAGAACAAGTCTTTCCATGTCCAGAGCATTAACCCGCGCGATGCTGAATTCTCGCTCTTGGGAGTTCTTCCCAACTTTGACAAGAGCCTGACGCTCTTTGCGTACTACCGCCAGTGCCTGATATGGCCTGCGAACCGCAAGCTCCTCACTGATGCACTCGCTAATAATGCGAAACGCCTGGGAGATGACGAACTGATGCTTCAGGCGACTGTGGAGGAATCAAAGATCGACCACCCTGGTGCCGCCGTGATTGCAAACGGTGACAACGATGACACAGCCATGATATGGCAGGCCGCTTCTTTTTTCGGCCTTGACAACATTCAAGCAGTGGGCGACCATGTCATTGTGAGCAAATTCAAGGAGAAGGTTCAGAACGATCCAGGACAAGAAGGTCTCGCCAAAGAGTTCCTTCTGGTTCTGGGTCGTTCGAGGAAGAGTGACCGCTTGATTGAGGCGGCGCAAGGCCCAATGTCTCTCAACACCGCTTTTGTGTGGCTCGAAGCGAATGAACAGTATGACGACGAGTTCATCGAGACCATGGCTAGCACCAAGGTGAGTTTCTGCCATATCCTGCACTTTTGGCAACAGACAGAGCTAACCCAGAATGCAGATCAAGAGCCACCCTGGAAACCAGTACATCAAGGATGAATGCCTTGAAGCTCTCGATACGATTTCGCGGAACAGAAAGAGCGACCGTCTCGCGGCATTTGCCCAGGAACTCATGCTATCGCAAGACGACCAGCTCACAGCTGCCCAAGCGCTTGTGGTGCGCTATGATCTCCCCGTCGGCCTCAAGAACATTGGCAACACATGTTACCTGAACAGCATCCTGCAATATCTCTACACTGTCAAACCGGTGAGAGATCTAGTCCTCAACTTCGACGACCACAAGTTGGACCTCAGCGATGAGAGCATCGCCGCACGTCGCATTGGTAGCAACCGCATGCCGCTGACCCGTCCTGATGCTGTTGTATCATTCGCATGTCCGTGCTTGGTGGATGACCCCTGATCATCATGACCAAGACTGACACTTTTTAGGCGCCGAGGAGCTGTGGAAGCTGTTCAACAGCTTGTACCCAAGCGACCAAGTTGCCGTCAAACCCGCACAGCGCCTGGCCAACGCTGCCCTCTTCCTGGTCCAAGAGGTTGCGGAGGGTGCTTCGAAGGACCAGGGCTCTAGCCAGTCGAAGAGTCTACCCGATGTCATGGGCGTCCAATTTCCAGCGCCACCCCCTCTTCCTGCCCGCCCCCTCCGGATGCGCCTCAGACACAGACCGAGCACGTCGAACATGTCGAACATGCCGAAACTGCCTACGGCGCTCACAACGGACAGAACATCGACATTGTCATCGTATCTGTGGACGCGGTCTCTGACGCTGCTAGCACCGGCAGCAGCAAGACCCTGATCGGCGATGCTATGGAGATTGATGTCAACTCGGACAAGGTGGGCGGCCCCTTGGAAGGAGAGGTTCTACCTTCCATCGAGGGCGATGCTGGACACTTGCAGAGCAACCAAGACACTGCCGTCGCTGTGGCTGACAGTGACGATCCCATGAACGACGCACGGGTTCTTGCTGCTCTCGAGACGCAGAAGCGCTCGTCTGGTACTGAACAACAGGATGTCGGAGAAGTTTTGGGTCGCTTGTTGGATAGAGTCCAGGGCGCCATCAAGCACACCCGTGTTACGGAAGATGGCATGCAGCTCGACCTCATCATGGATATCTTCTACATCTCGATCAAAACTCGCAACCAGAAAGATGGGCAAGAGCCTCAAGTCCAAGTAACGTTCGACCGCTACGTTAGCGCCTTTCCTTCTCAAAGCGGACCGTGTGACATCAACGATGCTCTCAGTCGGAACTTCGATCTCGAGTACGTCGAAGACAGCGGCTACACTCGATACAGTGGCATTGATTGCTCGGTCAAGCCGCCCACAATCTTGCAAGTGATGATTCAGCGCACCAGCAGCAATGGCACGAAGAATGGCAATCCGGTGATCGTTAGCGAGGATCTCTATCTGGACCGCTTCGTTGACGCCGTGCCTGGGTCGCGACTTTACGAGTACCGGAGCGCCAGCTGGACTCTCCAGAAGCGGATTCTCCAGCTTGGCGAGTTACCCGCTGCGCCCAAGGTTGACAACAGCGACCTCCTCGGCCATTTCATTCGACGTGGACTCGACACGCCTCCGACGGAGACTCTTTCAGACGCGCCCGAGGGTTCCCCCCTGGTCTTGTCAAAGCAACCATCTCCGGCGTTCAGCT